CTTTTTCAGCAACTCCTAAATTGTTGGGAAAATTTGGGCGCTATAGGACAGGAAGTCCAGTAAAGCCCACCATATTCATATACTTCGCCCTATCAAGCACATAATGCACCATTTTCATTTCTACAAAATAAAAAGCTTTGGTTTCTTGGTGAATTTAGGGTGCATTCAGCAACGCCCATTCCTTTTGCGCGTGCTCCGTTTGCGCTTGGGCGAGGGTGTGCGTGTGGGGGGTGGGCTGTTACATCAGTGGTATAGTTCTTCGTCTAGCACATTTTCGTCGTGCTTTCAGAGCAGATAAACATATCGACTCCTCTTCCATTTGTATTCGCAGCACGTCAACATTTTTCGGCCAAGTGCGCCATCGTCCCTGATAAGTGAGAGGTTGATAGTGTGCGCGCACTTTTTCTGCTAAAAGAAGATCATTGATGTAAGCGCTGCATGTGCGATTTCACGGTAGCGAATGAGCGCAGAAACGGGGTTTCGTTTCACACGTCGCGCGATTTCTTTAAAGGGGTCAAAATCTACATGCAGCTCGTAGTAATATGTGTTTGACCCTTTCAGATACCACCTATGAAGAACTCTCTGTAAATGTGTCAAACTTCTACAGAGTTCTTTCAAGGCCCTGAGCATTCTGTATCAACAAAAACATTGGGATAATTGATGAATAGTTGTGTGTTGTAGTAGTTTGTTCTAAATAAGTTATAATTTAATATCTCTTTTCTCTGAAGTCACTAATGCTTAGCTTTGGCGTAAACATAATTAAATATCACGCTAGGATTGTAGTGGAAATTATTTTTTTGGCTTTGTTCATTTAATAAAAGTGACATTCTGCTTTTCACAATTCTTGCAGGAAGCGGCACGTTGAACAACTCGTCTAGCTTGGTAGTAGCTTCTGAGTGATCATATGTACAGTACACTGCAATATGAAGTTAAATTAGGACAAATGTAATATACAGCAGGTTCAATTATTACAAAGTAGGATATATCTTGCTCTTTTGTAGCCTTTACATGATGTAAATAGCAAAAATGAGTGGTGAATTCAATCGTGTACACAGCGTATCAATGGTTAACGTTCCAAAACAATGAAACAGCATACACGTTGCCATGAAAACTTAGATCAGACGTATTGGAATGAACCTCTAGAATGCAAAGAAAAACACTGGGCCCAATAATGAATGGGAAATTTTTCGCACAATGAACCATATAGACATAGTTAACACTATACCAAGATCCAGATCTTGAGACCAGTTTTTTTTTGCTGAACAGGGAAAAGAGGGCGTCACCATTCTTAACCGCGCATGGTATACCGCTATCGCAGCAAATAAATGCGATGATAGCGAACTCGTACACTATCACAGTAAATGCGGTAGCATTCGCATGGCTAAGTGCATTCTTGAAAACCAACTTTTCATTTAAGCAGAATATTGTAATAAAATGGAAAGTTGGGCGAGTTGCTATGAGGACATTCTTGGTGACATTTCGTCGCGCACACAGTCGACGAAAACGGAGGCTGATTTCAGGGGTTTAACGTCCCAAAAGCACTATATGTTTATGAGAGACGCCGTAGCGGAGGGCTCCGGAAATTTAGACCACCTGGGGTTCTTTAACGTGCACCCAAATCTGAGTACACGGGCCTACAACATTTCCGCCTCCATCATAAATGCAGCCGCCACAGCCGGGATTCAATCCCGCGACCTGCGGGTCAACAGCCGAGAACCTTAGCCACTAGACCACCACGGCGGGGCACGAAAACGGAGGCCAAGACGACGAACAGGCGTGTTTGTTTGTCGCCTAGCCTTCTGTTTTCCCGTTCACTGTGTGCGCGCCGAAAGGTTACCAAGAATGTAAGCCGAATAACTTAAAATCGGCTAACTCCGTCTCAAAGTAATATTTCTGTTTATCCTCTCAGTGCGTCAAGAGATGAAAATGAAAGTACAAATGCAGGCACGCTATTCGACAAACTTTTGTATCATAGTGGTAATACACTTGCACACGCCTGCCACCCAAGTTCCCTGTCGGTCATCGACTCATGTTCGTAAAGCCCGCAGTTAGACACACTTGTAATAAAATATCCTTCATGTATCTAAAGAGTGAACCTGAAGCACGCATATATATTAGAAAAATGTTCCCTCTGTGAAACTGTCACAATATAGATGTTACTCTTTGGCCCTCACAAACGTTATATCTAGGGCAGCGTTTCCGACTATTGCGATTACTAGTCGGCCAGGCAGTGCGGCTAGACCGACTCTGAGATCAGCCAAAATTCTGCGAAACGCCCCGTTTAGGAAGAGCTCATCCTGGAGACTGTGAAATACTATAAAGAGTCATTTTACTGGTGACAGAGCGACCGATCAAGCAGGCACGTCAAAAAGTGTGAACTTGGGATAGAAGGTATACAAAGTTTTTTTGTTGTTTTTGTTAAAGAAAGGTAATATCTCTAGCCTGTATATTTGTTTTATTGTTTGCATTGGTTTGTTTGGTTTTGCTCATGGCTGTTCGACGTGCTAGTCCGAGGTCAAGGCCTCGCCAGGAAGCATACGAGTCTCGTTTTGCCATGACATATTTCATGTTATGTAAATATGTCAGAAATAAATTATTCTATTCGATTATATTTAGGTACCATTCATCTGTGTGATTTCGTAGAGGGCCGGTTTGTGAACCAACAGTGTAGATGTAGTTGAGACTTGGCTACGTATAAGCCAATTCGAAGATGTGATTCAAATGGAGGATTGAGATGATGACAGACATAAGAAACACGCTCATAAAGCGCCTTTTTCGAAAAAAAATCACAGAAAAGCCATCGTTATTTACCGACAAACGTCATCTGTGCGCCGTCAGGCTCAATCACAGCAGCTCTGTGATAGTGAATCTGTTGTCAAAGTCGTCTTGTTCACTTCATCACATTTAGTAATTTGGCCCGCTTGTCAGACATTCTGACAACAAGCAGCATGCGCGAAAACTTTGTGCACCCCTAAAATGCCAACTATAGAATTTGCAAAAAGGCTTATCGTGTAATATATTGACGCATGCTCTGTTTTGCCAAAAGTCATGACAAGTGGGCGAAATTACTAATTGAAGTAAGGAGAATCCATGAGGCAGACGAGTGTTGCATAAGTGAGGAATGTGTGTTACATTATTCCTCGAACAAATGTTTTGTACGTAAACGCGCCATGCAGTGCACTGCGACAGCGTGCCCCACGTTTAAAATACAGGGCTAGTTCTGCTGCCCTGAATATGCGCGTCTTCAATGTGTGCCATCTTCTTCACGCTATCAACCTCTGGGGGTGCTAAACCACTTTTAGTTTGCCATCGTAACATGGTGCAGTACGTATGGCACTACTGGTTTTTAAGTTATACAAAAATGCGCAACAGGAATAACGAAACATTCGTTCGAACTGACCTTGCAAGTCTCCAGAGGCAAAAGACTTACTAGTAGCCCCATTCACTCTTCTGTGTTACAAAGCATACAAACAGCCAGTTCCGGCGAAAATGGAGACTCGGTGGATGAAGCATCATCATGGGAGCAAATCACAGTCTTTAATCTGAACCTTGCTGAACATGCATCTGGACACGCTATTTGCGTAACCGCCCCGCCGCGGTGGTCTAGTGGCTAAGGTACTCGGCTGCTGACCCGCAGGTCGCGGGTTCGTATCCCGGCTGCGGCGGCTGCATTTCCGATGGAGGTGGAAATGGTGTAGGCCCGTGTACTCAGATTTTGGGTGCACGTTAAAGAACCCCAGGTGGTCAAAATTTCCGGAGCCCTCCGCTACGGCGTCTCTCATAATCATATGGTGGTTTTGGGACGTTAAACCCCACATATCAATCAATATTTGCGTAACAGAAGCAACTACAAAGATTCACTTGCATGTAATTCAGAGCTTGCCATACAGCAGCGCATTCAAAAGGCTATAAATGTGTTGTTAACTGCACTGCTAAGGGGGCATACGCCGCTCATACGGTTTCTATGCGCGGCTTTGCTCAAGCGCCATAAATTCTACAACTGGTGCTGAATGTGTGGCTATAACATTGAATCAATAAGAACAAGCAGAAAATTATGAACTAGAAATTGAGCATAAGATAGGTAGGGACAAACCACTTATATATCAAATTTGATGAACACGGGTATACGGAAAAAGGTGGTATGCCGCTACATTTCTGTTTTCTGGTGGCTGGTTATTTTTGTTTTTAGCACGATGACGTGTTCCCACCATTGACTCATTCCACCTAGCTTGCGACACAGGTCTCTGACCGCTAGGGTTTCTCGACAGCTGAAAAAAATGCGTAAATAGTGCTAGAGCTGATAAGGAGATAATTATTGACGTATAGCACTTAAAATATGTGAGGCACAGGACAAGGGATACTCTAGTCGACAAGGATGTTCACAGGACGAAGACAAACCCTGCAAAAGTTATCTTGCTTACCTCAAGCAAGCGTTCGCAAGCAAACTCTAACTGCATTTTCCCTTGCTTGTGAACCACAAAGCTCCTTTTGCATTCCATCAACTATGCTTTGCGAATTCCGGCTGGCGCCCGAAGTGAGCGATGTTCTAGTAGATGAACCAGCACACAACCCGAGCAGCAGAAACAAACGGCACTGATGACGACAGCAGTGAAGACAGAAGCGCCCATCGACACCGCCAAGATGATCCGTCAAGAAAGTTAACCAAAATCTCCGAGGTAGCGATCACACCAGAATGCTCCACCTGCCGGCACACCAGAAAAAGCAATGAAATGATAAAAATGTAAAAAAAAACAGAGATCAGATGACAATATCACGAGTGCATTTCGTTATTTTCGCACGTGGTGCTAACTTCATTTCCATCATACGTGGACTCTATAAAAGATTTATTGCATTTTTTTCTTATTTGCACTCTTACCTAGAAACTAGACACCCCTTCCAAACGTGATATTAGCCAGCAGTGTCAGCCAGCTGCTCGAACGTTGCGGCCACACGCTCGTCACTCTTGGGAGAGTGGAGAGGTGGAGCGCCTTTGTGCTATAGGAATGGTAGACGCAAACAATTGCTTGTATTATTTGGCGGTTTCGATAACGATAAAAAGGGGAGGGAGGGCACGTGTCATGTTACGTACGCAGTAAAATAAATAAATTACCTTCACAAATACAAGCCCCTGCACAGACGCATACTCAAAGCAAGGCACGTCGCACATTCCTGGCGTGTTGTCAAGGTGCTTGGATTCGGGCATCGACGGAGCTGAGTGCATTGTCTGGAGTGGTTCACGTAACTATCCTTTGCCATTGATAACACTTCAAGCGTAGCATTAAAACGTACAGTTGACTACTTCATGTCTATTTATTTATTACTTGGTAAACTTATCACGGCGATGTGGTTTAACTGTCTTGTGTCAGGAGCCGCTTTCGGGAGGAGGTGAACTTGACCGGTGAAACTTTCGTCTCTCTCATAGGTTTCTCTCTCGTGCAGCTTCCTGACGAGCCATGCCCACGGAAGGTCAGGAATCCTCCAGCGAAACAGCCACCGCAGAGGAGGAGGCGGTGGCACAGGAGGCGGCGTTACCGGAGGCAGCGGTGACACATATGCAACGCCAGACGTGGTGCTTCTGGGCATTAGTTGTCACGGTGGTCGTAGGACCAGTGCTCTTTTCAGGGCTCTTTTACATCTATATTCCGTACACCACCACGCAACCCCTCAGCTACTGGTATCCCTGGAGACAACGCCCTGCCAGCGTGGGTTTTACGTTTCCCCGCATCTTCCTGTGGAATCCAGCGGACGATGACAATTGTCCGCCCGTGAGAGATCGACTTCTGATGGAATGTGGCGAGTTCAACAAAACTGAAAAGCTTTGCTACATCACAAAGGACCCTGTTTACCATGTTGTCAGTGACGCCATTGTTGTCGAAGCGTCTCGCTTGGATCCTTACAATCTGCCGAGGCACCGGCACCCGGAACAGTGGTGGGTGTACTCTACCTTGGCTGGAGAACCCGCTAAGTGGTCAATGCCTTTCCGTCGCGTTTCTGAACTGTTTAACTGGACTATGTCATATAGAGACGATGCGGACGTCGTCGTTCCCTACACCACGTGGCGGAATCGCTCAGATTTAGTTTCAATGCGCCGCGAACTTCTTCTCGAGGCTATTGATGCGAAATCTAAAAGCATTGCCTGGTTTGTAAGCACGTGCGAACAGCCGCTGCGCCGTAACGCTGCAGGGATCCACTACCATCCTCTGCCCAGAAGCTCGGAAAATTTCATGGTACATATCAACCAAACGTTCGACGTTTTCATGTTTCCTGATTGTGGCCACCCATTGTGCAATTCCCTTGAGGAGTGTATGCAGATGGTGGCCAAGGACTTCTACTTTGTATTCGTTCTCGAGACTTCTCCCTGTTTCCATCACCCGTTGCAGATGATATCCGCCGCCTTTCATTACAACATCGTTCCCGTCTACTTCGGCAAGACAGCCCTCGGAGATACGGTGCCCCAGGGGTCCGTTTACGACACATCGCAAGAGCCGACCGCATTCGATATTGTCGACAAGCTCAACGTCATGCGTGACGACGTGCACACGTATGTGTCGTACTTTACATGGAAACAGAAGCTACACGAGTTCTCGGTCCACCCAATGTGCGCGCTCTGCGACGCTCTGTACGAAGCTGCCGAGAACTCCACTGCCACTACCGACATCTTCTCCTGGTGGCGGCGGCGCCCAGAGTGCGACTACGTCATTCCAAGTCCAGGTGGTTCCATCATTAATGCGAAGCTCACCGCACACGGAATAATTTTTGTGCCTGAGGAAGAGATGGAAATTCCTGGTCGCATTGTTAGGCCTCCTAAAGCGCAACGTACCGCTACTACAACAGCAAGTCCTCTCCCATTAGATGAAGTCAACGAAAACTTGGGACATGACCACGACGACACATTGTAAGGGCGCATTGTTGCAAATTTTTTTCGCATTCCTTTCGTCTTTTATATAATTGCACCCACTTCGATAGTTCTTTTTCACCGTGCAAATAAACTTTTTATCTGCCCAATCTCGGTTACATTTCCTGTCCACTACAGAACAGCGTTGCGAGCTAATGCATGAAACTACCGTATCCCTAGCACTCTTCCATGGCCATCTAGGCACAGCAACTTCCTGCCTCTCCTCTAGTATCCGTGCCTAAGATCGCCACTCGAGTGTTTGCCTGACAGATTAGATCCAGACATACAGTACTCGCGGATTCAAATGCATAAGCAATTTCTTTAGCGTAACAACTTCTATGCGCAGTCGCTAAAAAAGTGTCATGTCAGAACGAATCTGGTTTCTACAGATAATGCCGCCTCTGCTCTACACGCTCAAGTCTAAATTGCGCCGATATGACCCGAACTGAAGACGACGGGAACTAAAGTGTGTACATGCGTTACTTAGTCCTCAGTTATCTTGCTTGAATCGATTAGTATATACTATACATGCATGCTTGGTACTCTGTTCGGTGCTCTACGAAGCGTTTCAGGTTCAAATTGAATGAGCATTTCTAGTACAATCTTGTACAAGTCAACTGGCACAATTTGAACCTCACGCGGTCGACTCCGGGGAGCATTCATCCTCACGTTCACTGTAAACACACAAATGTTTTCATTTAGGTTGAGGGGGTGTTTTACACAGACAATTGGTGGTTCGACGTCACTAGCCCAAACTCCGCTAAATATACAATGGAACATTGGTGCAAGTGCGCTCCAAAACTTGCTACCTTTCCTTTTTCCCTGCGGCAATGAGGTGTCTTCTCTGGAAAGCACGCCTGCTGCAAACCTCTTCAACCGGCAAGACGAAGATGACAAATGGATTGTTATCGGTGGGGCGGTTTATTCGTATAGCGGCCAACAGACATCGGTAAAGGCGGAGTCCGCCCCGCCGCGGTGGTCTAGTAACTAAGGTACTCGGCTGCTGACCCGCAGGTTGCGGGATCGAATCCCGGCTGCGGCGGCTGCATTGCCGATGGAGGCGGAAATGTTGTAGGCCCGTGTGCTCAGATTTGGGTGCACGTTAAGGAACCCTGTGTGGTCGAAATTCCCGGAGCCCCCCACTACGGCGTCTCTCATATTCATATGGTGGCTTTGGGACGTTAAACCCCACATATTAATCAATTAAAGGTGGAGGCCGTGCACCGTAGGACGACAGTCTAGCGTTGCCGTCTGTAGAAAGTCCAACAGATTTACAGCACTGCTCTGTTCTTGGTACAGATTGTTAGGCGAGTTCATGACAAAGGAAGTAAGCACCTTATTTACGTGAGATGAGGCGAAGAAGGCCATAGAACAAACGGACAATAACTGAATCCTTCATTGAATTACATCCACCGCGGTCGTGTAGCGGTTACCGAGCTCGGCTGCTACCCGAACGTCACGGGTTCGATGCCGGCCGTGGCGGTCGCATTTCAGCAGAGGTGAAATGGTCGATGCCCGTGGACTTTGTGACGTCAGTGCATGTGAAAGAACCTCCGGAGGGTGAAATTTATGGAGACCCCCCCCCCTCTACTGCGTCTTTCGTAGTCATGTCATGATTTTCGGGCGTTAACCTCGGATATTATCATATACCGATGAAATCGCACTGCCGTGATTTGTGATTTTTTTGCAAACTATTCGTGGTATATACTGCCCTTTACTTCTCAGTTGTGTATATTTTCGGATTCCGCATAAGTTAATCAGCAAGAATCCACAATTACATGTACTACTTGCTAACTTATTTCACCACTCTACCAATCACAGAATTCAAAGTCTTCATAATGTTAACTTTCATGATCTTGATGTTTATTCAGTCCACTGTCATTGTTTTCATCTCAGCTTAGCATTGTCTGAACAGTTTTTCACAATGTACATATTCTTCCATTTCTCATATTTCAAGAAGCCTTCCACACAATTGTGTTTATTTCCTTTTGTTTTTTTTTTCGCTCCAATTCCGCGATTTTCGTCTTGCATTTCTTTTTTCTTCTCATTTTGCCCAGATTTTTTTAGTCTGTGCGTTTTCGCTTGTTTAGTTGACTTCTCTTTCTGAAGACTGCCTTTATTGTATTCTTTCTTTCTAATATTTTCTTTTTGCGTGCGCTTGCACGAAGGCCTTATGGTTGTTTCGAGGCACGTTAAATAAATTATTATTATTATTATTATTATTATTATTATTATTATTATTATTATTATTATTATTATTATTATTATTATTATTATTATTATTATTATTATTATTATTATTATTATTATTATTATTATTATTATATAGGGTGCTTTAGCTAACATGCGCCTATAGAATATAAAAACATAGCGCTGAGCCAATTGGAGAGTATTTATTCTAAAAAGCAAGGCATTGCATTTGTTAGTCGACATTTGTGGTGTCTTCAGCTCCTACTTGTATCCGGATTTGCACGTGCTCTTTGTGTTTTAGAATGAATATTCTACACATTTTTAAGTGGCGCAGTGTTGTCCTGAGTCTTATACGTCATGTCAGTATATATTCCCCAATCCACCAAGTTTGATAAATTAGCAAAGGTTGTTTAGTTTTTAAATTAGTAACTCGAGGAAAATCGCTGATACAAATGTTGTAGCACTTGTTCGGAAACGTAAGATGGCTTCAACTTTCTTAAGATTAGTGTTATTCCGCCAAGTTTTATAATTAACAAAGATGGCCCAATTAACCTTTAAAATAGTAACCCCGACGAATAAAGTTCAGCAAAATGATAACGTTTGGTCCGCATAGCCAGATTACTTCGTATGTTGTCACGTGGTGGTGACGTTGACGAAGGCAGCAAACTGGGTTTCCAAGACTAAACCCTTTACTTTGGCGACCACGTGCCCGGAAAATTGAAATACAACTTATAAGCGCTTCAGGATGTGAAGTGATAGAGGCGTCAACAGTCCTCGGCCTTCGAGTAATATCAGAAATGGTAAAACGTGTCGGCTTTTATACTTGTGCTATCGAAGATTGCAGCGTTGTCCGCCGTGGTGGAGCAGTGTTTAATGTTTTCGGCTGCTGACCCAAAGCTGACGCATTTGATCCCGGCCGTGGCGGCGCATTTTGATGGCGGCAGAATGAGAGGCCAGTGTACTGTGCGAAGTCAGTTCGCGTTAAAGAACCCCCGATACTTCCGCAACACCTGAGGACTTCCGAAATGTCAGACAAAAGGGGCCACCCCAAAGTTCGAGCATCTCAGTTACTTCCTCCTCATCTCTGGTCTGCCTTCCGCGGGATTTTCTAAACGTCGTCCACGCTGCATTTTTGGCGTGCATCTTTTCGGTCATTGTGATCACCGAAAAAGCATCCGATTTCGGTGTGCTCAACTGGGCAGGCTTCGAGTAAATACAATCTGCTGGCGAATCGTCCATGAACGATAGCCACAGATCCTCAGACATCACCGGAAGACGACATGTTCCCCTGTGTTTGAGCGGAAGTGCAAATTTTCCGCGAAAGCGCAAATGAGGAACAAAGCACGTCCAATAGACTTAGTTCGACATCAAACACAATGACATACCTTTTAAAGCATCCATAAAAGCATCAATTATTTGATCAACCAATTGAAATATCACCTAGAAAGCAAATAATCTAATAAAGGCTAAATCAAAGAACGATTAATAATCATCTAATCGATTAAAACATTTAAACAGCCATCCCTAAAACAGTCCGCACAGATACCGCGTCGAGTTTGCTCGGCAAGGCGTGAGGCAAGTATACGAGCGGCTAAAAGGTACGCACTTCTATCTACGAACGGAGCCACAGCCAGGTTCCCACGTACGTTTCTAGCGCTTGAGTTTGGCCATCCTTGAGAGGTTGTAGTTCGACTCTTGCGAGAGTTGTTTCATGCTTACAACAGAGAATAAACAGAGGAAAATTCAGACTGAAAACACAAGAAGTAGTGACATAGCGTCCGTTCAGCTTGATGCGATTAAATTTGCTGTGTTAATAAGACGTTTCCGATAAGTCTTCATTTATTTGTTCTAAATTTTCCCACGTACTAGTACCATGCCGTCACTATAGGTACACGAGTCACGTGAGCTACATTGGTCCTGATTCTCTAAGCGGCCACAACAGATATTCCTGCGTCTCTCCCACCTGAATTTAATCAGTGGCTTCAAGAAATGATGCACTAATGTTGCCCCGTTAACACTGTTTGGCGAAGGGGCTCATTTACTACTGCTTTAGTTCGTGGCTGAAGTGAATACTGCTAGCCGGTACAAACGTGTCCAAATCACAGGGCACCTGCACTGAAGTTCTCGATATGGCAAAACATGATAGCTCGATCTCAAACAGATTACCGCGGGGTTTCGCCATACTCGTATTTTCCTTCTTCGTGAGGGTAAAACAGAAACGAGCGAACAAGTAAGTGGATATGCGTATCTTGTACGTTGCTAATTCTGGCATATACATGTAGCCTATAAATGCTTGCGCTTTTTTTTAAATTTTTCGCCTAACCGTCGCCTCTCAGTAACGGGAAGGCAGTCGCTAAGTAGCCACGCCGGGGGGCATTACGAGAACACGGAACTAATTGTAATACGAATGGCAGTACTCGTTCTCATAGTTGACGACCACGACGACAAGTCTTAAACAGAGTGAGTGAGAATAGGAAGTGCACGACGCCAAACGGCGTCTGCGCACTTCGGTCCTCTTTCGCGGAAACGTCACTAATGACCTAGATATTATTCTACGAACTGAAAGGTAACAAACAATAACGAGATTGTTTCTCCGCGAAGGAGCAGCAAAAATTGCGAATTTCTTCCATCATTTTGTTGCCTTCCTTCAGCTACACGAAGAATACATTACCATGACAAAAGAAACTGCAGTGAGTCGTTTATTTAAATGCATGCACGGACAAAAGCGGTGACGCAGTTTTTTTTATGTCTACCTTCGTAGCGTCTGAAACCAATTTCCATTTTATGACGCCTGAACGTATGAAGGGCTTGCGGTTGTGTAGCAGGGGTTTATATTATACATCTGCTACATCGCATTTTGTCCAACGTTACGATCATATGAAGTACATGTGGGCCAGTAAAAGCTGTTCACTTTTATTCA